CCCCAAAACCCCAAAACCCCAAAACCCCTAGAAAGAAAATAATGTTAAAAAGTAGAATTAAGGAATTCGAATAAAAATAGAGTAATGGAATCTGATAGTTTATCACAAAGCATTCCATTTATAGCAAAATCTGATTTCGAAAGACTCTAGCCGAATTCAAAAGAGATAGATTATGAGAGTGTTCAATCTTTGTAAACTAATCTAGGAGATAGTTTCTTAATCTAATAGCTATAATCTGTAGATATGGCTAATCTAAGGTCAAGCAACATCAATAAATTTGCACCCAGTTTTGATAAAATCAGATCTATAGTTGAAACAGATGGCGCTTGTTTAATTAGGTATAAATTTCTCATTAATCCTCTATTATTTTTAGGGGGCTGATTCCGAAAGACAAAGTGTCAAAAGCATTAGCAGTTGTAACTCAGCACTTGTTTGAAGAACAGATGATTCCAAGTATTAATGACTTAACTATTCTGGATAATAAGCCAGGTAAACTTTTGTCAGGGTACCAACCAGTGACTCATCATCCTAACTTTTTGTAATATATTCTATTGTCTTATTTACCTAGCTAGCTGGTTGAGTGCAACGAACTGAAGCTTTTCTTTCAATTATACTTCAAAAGCCCAAAGGTCTCAACGTTCAACACAAAATGGCTCAGAATCAAAGGTGAGGGTGAATCTACAACTATCCATAGCGATTATTATCGATTCTAATAATTTACTGACTCGCTTCACATTGCATGGATCCCTTTGAGTAATTATAATATATGCAATAATCTGATTATAGTTCCAATGAATCTAGAAAATGGGCCATTAATTTTATGCAAGGGTTCTAATAAATGGGAAGCCTATGATACCTATATGTAGAATGCTGAAGAGCTACCCCTGATATTTAAAGACAAATGCTAGTAATAAAGCTATTGGCTGACCAGTTTTGATATTAAGGAAGGAGATTTCATTCTATTTCACAATAAGACACTGCATGGTTCACTGATCAATCAAACACAAAAGTATAGGATAAGTGTTGACACTAGGTGGACAAAATAATAATGATCATTTCTATAATTTGATGTCGAATTCTAAAATTGTTAATCATCAATTTATTAAATAAATTGCCTTATGGGGTTTTGGGGTTTTGGGGTTTTGGGG